GCGGGTCCGGGCGGCTGGGGCACAGGGCGGACCCCGCACCTCCCGCCCCGCCCCAGTCGCCGCCGGTGCCTGCGGGCGGCGCGTCGGAGCGGCAGCCTCCGGAGCCCTCGGGGTGAGGGAGAGGTGCGGAGACGGAAGTACGGGAAAGCAGGGGACCGGAGGATTCCCGAACTACGTGAGGCTGTGGCTGGCCAGCCTTCTTTCAGACGCCGCAACAGGCGTGGGGGAGATCAGCGCAGCAAAATGCTATCGAGGTACCTCCCCCAAATTCGCTGACCTTCCCTTAAAAGCCGATCACGGCTCCCAGATCTGTTAATTTATCCAACTTGTTCATTTTCATGATTTCTGGTGAGCAATCTTTAGATTAGACCGGCAGGCCTCTCCAGTACTTTTGTTCCAGTAGTCTGCATAGTTGGAATGAGACTGCCCTGAGATAAGAATCCTCTTTGGGTTTTATTTTTGCACAAAATTTTTAGTATGTGGGCCCATGTACATGTTTTCACTACCGTAGACTTTCTAGTTTTGGGGGGTTTTTTTAAGCAGAAAAACGATAAAACTACAACTTAGACATTTTGGGTTTTATTCAATTTACATAACAGGCTCAAATTTTTATTAATTGAATTCTGCATACATACATATTTAGTCTTAATTTACAAAGCAGCATACTTTGGTAATCTTTGAGGTATATTATTATAAAGTACAAGTTTTAAAGAAACATCACAAAAACAGTTGGTCAGTGATCACTTTTGTGAATATAAAAGAGAAAGTTTCAGGTTTGTAATCCAGTCACTCTTGCTTACAGGCAGACATTTAATAACTCCTTACCAAAAAAACTCCAGTTAGGTACACTGGTACCCCCAGGTAGTCTAGTTGGGATTCACCCAGAGAAACCCATTTTCCCTTTTAATAGAGTCAATACTTTCATTCTCTACAAGCATCTCAAAAATGATTTTAGCAATGCCATGTGGCTTTGGTGACCCTGGGAAAAAAGAAAACATTCAACTAAAGACAATAGTTGTTCAAACAGTAAGAATATATATTCTTAACTCAAGAGGATAAAACAATAAAACACTTCCTGCACTTTCCCTAACTCTTGGGAAAAAAATCAGATTTTAAGTCAGTTCACAAAGTCCTTATTTTCGCGAACCCCTTGTATTGAGACATATATGCCTAAAAACTTATGAAAGAGCCAAAGCATGTGTCTCACAACTTCAAAGTAAGGGCACTTGTATTAGAACATACATGGCCCCAAAAGTTTTTAAAGAGCTAAAGTTTGTGTCTGGCTTATAACTTACCAACTGTTAAAACAAGCCACGCACATATATGAACAATGAAGCCATACATGGCTAACGAAAAGTAATATATAAATCATTTTCAAACAGACGGGTCACTTCCACCATGAAAGATTGCTAAACTGAAGCCAAACTTAGTTCAACTATATTTGATCTGTCACTAAATGCCCAGGTTCTAACATAATCTCCTGGTTTTTAAAACTCAGAGGATGGTTCTTCGTTTTACATGTTGGTATCCTACATGTTTCTTTTTCCTAAATTGACTCTTCTGCCATTTAATGTATGAAGAGGCAATATAATCTTACATCTGATAGCCACCTTAAGAAAAAACAACTATTTCTTTTATATAGATACAACATGGCTGGAGAACTTGTAATATTTAGTAGTCAAACCTGTATACAGTAGTCAAACCTAGAAATGTTACGATATATGCCTGAAAACTGATCCTTTAAAATTAGTAATGATTTAGAGGTTTCTTCTTATATTTCGTATGTGTCCAACAGAGTGCTTTCAAGAGGCTAAAAAATATATGAAGTGGATTATCTTAAGTTGAAAGCCACTAAATTTCACTTTTGATTTTGAGTTGTGGAGTTTTAGCCTCTTGAAAGCACTCTGTTGGACACATACTAATTCTGTGCTAACAGATAAACTTAAAGCATCAAACTTCCAACACCACACTGTAGAAATGAGGCCACACTACTCAATTCAGAATGTCTCATTTTCTTTTTGTATCACAGAAATTCAATTCCACAATGTATTTCATGGTTCACTGGAGAAATTCACAGCTTAGAAATATGCATAAGAACTGAAAGGATGGTTTCTTAAGGCTATCAGAGACTAATTAGCAAATAAATGTTCTCAAAAAGAATGTTCATATTAAGAGATCCTAATAATTAGAAAACATGGAAATGTTCCTATGACAATTAAATCCTTCATCCTCTGGTTTTCTTCCAGATGTTTTACTTCCAAGTATCTCTGCAGTTTCAGTCTTTAAGGTAATTAGCTTTCAACAGCCATGCCAGTCTTATTCTTATTTAGTAGATCAAAGGTTTTCTGAAGCATAATGAGTGAGGTCTTCAGCTGCAAACAAAATTAATTTTCAAAATCAGATTGTTTAAATTTTTCTGATTATTTTTTTCCAAAAGTTTACAATTATATTTAATATAATTTTGTTTATACTGATGCCCAGATAAAACACTGAATATAAAACACCTGATTTTTTAGGCTGTCTGTCAGTTTGATCGCTACAGTTCTTCTCATTTGCTGGAGTACTGCACTTCCCACTGCTGTGTATTCTGTCTTCCAATATGTCCATTAATCACATTATCCAAAGTGAAAGGCTTGTTTTCCTAAACTGTTGCTGAAGTTGCAATGGTCTCCTCATTATCCTCTAAACAACTCAAGTTCTACTTCCAGCCCCTTGCAAGTTATTATCTATCTAAAACTTACCCATACCCGCTGTCTCCATGTAGTTTTCCCTAATCATCATGCCTCTAAACACCCAAAGCATTATTACCCTTACTACTTAAGACTTTGACACTTAATCTTGTACTTTTTTATAGTCTTTAACAATACACATGGGTAGCTGATTAATAAAATTGTAGACAACTTAAGAGTAAGAATTATGTCTTAATCTTTCTTGTTCATTTCTTCATTCAACAAATACTTATTGCTTACCTACTACATGCTGGACACTGTGCTAAGCACCGGGTATACAATGGTGAACCAAATCAGCACTGTCCCTGCCTTCATGGAGCTTACAGACTAGTGAGGGACGAACTAAAACAAATAACCACTACATAAATATATACTTAGATATTTTATTAAGTTTTCCACTTGAGCAACTGGAGGATGGCAATATTTTCTGAAATTAGGTCCACTAGAGGAGAATTAAGTTTTGGCTTTGAGGAGAACTGAGTTCTGTTTTGGACATGATCAGTTTGGGATGTCTGTTAGTCATCCAGGGGAAGATGCCAGGTAGGCAAGTAACTGTATGAGTCTAGGGCTCAGGGAAGAAGTCAGAGTGAGAGATATGGATTTGGGAGTTGATGTTGTGTGAATGTTTATGTCCCCTCCAAAATTCATGTTGAAACTTAACCCCCAATGCAACAGTAATAAGAGGTGGGGCCATTGGGAAGTGATTAGGTCATCAGGGTTCTGTCCTCATGAATGGATTATGGCTCTTATAAAAGGGCTAGAGGGAACTAGCTAGGCCCCTTTTTTGCCCTTCAGTCCCTTCCACCATGTGAGGACACCTAGATGGAGCCATCTGTGAGGAATGGGCCCTCACCAGACATTGAACCTGTGGCACTTTGATCTTGGACTTCCCAGCCTCCGGAACTGTAAAAAATAAATCTCTGTTCTTTATAAATTACTCAGTCTCAGGTATTTTGTTATAGCAGCACAAACAGACAATAGTGGAGAAGGGAAGAGAATCTACACAGAGCCCTGTAGCACTTGAGCTAGGAAGAGGTCAGGTAGAGGAAATGGTTTTAAGCAGCAAAAAATAGTTTTACATTACTCCAAGGGAAAGAAGCCAGTCACAAAAGACCATATATTGTATGATTCCATTTTAGTAATGGAAAGTAAATTACTGGGTGTCAGGCTTAAGGGAAGTAAAGGATGGGGAGTGACTGCTTAGGAGTATGGAATTTCTTCTGGGGTAATGAAAATTCTCTGGAAGCGATAGTGGTGATGGTTGCACAACATTGTAGAGATACTACAAATTCTTTAAAAGGGTGAATTTTATAGAATTTGAATTATATCAAATAAAGCTGAGGGGTTTTTTAATGATTTTAAAGAAGGGCAAGATTAGATACATTTGAAGAAAGGAAAGGTCAGCTCTGTCAAATGCTGACACTCTAAGATGAAGACTGAAAAAAAGGTACATTACTTTTACAAGCCAGAGGCCACGGGGGAACTTAGCTCCAGCAATATCAGTGGAATGATGGGAGAAGAAAAGCAGGCAGAAGAGAGCTGAAGAATGAATGAGTGGATTAAATATATGCATAACTTTGTTCCCTCTTGAAACTCCACTGAAAGTACAGTAAAGGGATTTTTTTTTTTAAGGCATAAATCCACGGGGGATTGGAGGGGGGGTGGAGAACAGAAGAGGATGCAACAGTGCAACTTTAGAAACTGGAATGCAGATGTATGACTTAGCAGGCCTGAGAAAGCTGATCCCTAAACAGTAGGGAGTGCTAAAAACCATCAAAATTAACCCCAGAGAATCTTCTAAAGGCTCAGGTGTTGGTAGCCAGGAATCTCTAGAAGTGAGAATAAAAAGGAAGGAGCCAAAATAAGAATTGGATGAAACCCTGGGTGTCTGACCTCTCCTACTACCTACTCAGAAGTCTGGAATTTAATTTTCTGGACAGGACAAAATAGTCTTTCACTGTCTAGCTAGCGGGACACCAAGGCATTGTTAAGGACAGTGGTACCATAACAAAAACGGGGACTGAATGAAAAAGTATACACTGAATGCTGAGACCATCCCTTCTGACCTGCCCTCACCCATCCCTGTTCTTACACTCATCTCCTAAAATGTTCCAGCCAGTCCGTAATCCTTCAGGTAGGAGACTGGAAGAGTCCTCTGTGGAAAATGACCAATCCTGTGACAATCTGACCTGAAGATACTGATATCAGGTTTTCTCAAGAAAGAGCCCAAACCAGATCTACAGAGAGATTCAACAGCCCCATCCACATGTTAAGAGTAAGAGCTTCTGATCCACACAAGCAGACAACTGAGGGCGACCAGACAACTGAAGAAATCCTCTAACTCTGAAGACAGAAATTAAAATGGAGAGAAAGGATTTTGATAGAAAATAAGTATGCAAGTAGAAGAAAAAAACATTTTAACTATCAATATACTTAGGGAAATAAAGATATTGTAGTCACTGAAAACGATTACAACACCACAAAAACAAACAATTCAGAAAAATACTAGCTCTTTGAAATTAAAAACTTGTTAGCAAAAATTGAAAAACTCAACAGAAGATTTGAAGATAAAAGTAAGGAAATTTCTTAGAAAAAAAAGGCAAAAAGAGACAGAAGCTGGAAAGAAAAGGTAAGAAGATTAGACAACCCATCCAAGAGAAGGCTGACATCTGAATAACAGGAGTTGTAGAAAGTCAGCAGAGAGAAAACAGAGGGGAGGAGATCATCCACTATATAACTCAAGAAAACTTCCAGAACTGCAGGGCATGAGTTTCCAGATTAAAGGATCAGGAATGAAAAACAGGTTCAGAATTTTCAACTGGAAGCCAAAAGACAATGGAACAATGCCTTCAAAGTTCTGAAGGAACATTATTTCCAACCTAGAATTCTATCCCTATCCAAACCATTCATCAAGGGAAACAGTATAACAAAAAATGTTCAGATAGGAAAATTTAAAATATTTACCTCCAATCTTTCTTTCTCAGGAAGCTACTAGAGAATGTGCTCTGTTAAAAGGAGAAAGTAGGGGCCGGCCCGGTGGTGCACTGGATAGTGCGCCGCTTGGGAAGCGTGGCGGCGCTCCCGTCCGAGGGTTCGGATCCCACATACGGACCGGCTCCCGCTCACTGGCTGAGCGAGGCGCGGGAGCAACACCGAGGCTTGCAATCCCGTTGCCGGTCCCCGGTCCGGTACGGGGGCAACACTGAGGGTTGCGATCCGTTGCCGGACACGGAAAAAAGACAAAAGACCAAAAAGGAGAAAGTAAACCTGGAAAGGAGAACACAGGACATAGGAAACAGAGAATGACAACAGGGAGAATGACAACAGGGATGCCCAGGATGACAGCTCCAGGCATAGAGAACCACTAGACCTAACCAGACCCAGTCGCGAGGCTCCATCAACAGAATACCTGAGTAAATGAAGATTTTGAGAGGAGATTTATAAACAGAAAATTAGAAGATTAAATACTCATAAATAATACTGATAAACTAGTTAACTATAAGACCATTGGAGGGATAGCAAAAAGCACAGAAAAGAAAAAGCAGTTATGATTTATTCTATGGCTCAGCTCGGAATAACAAAGTTAGTCAAAACAAAGTAAATACTGAGAATCAATCCAGTTGAAGTTAAATTATATTATAACTTCATTATGAAGACGGGAGGAATCTGAAATGTGTGTTTTGCGGGGAGGGGTAGGGAGAGGGAGGGGGTTGGGGTAAGTGGAAGGAAAGAAAACCAAATCCTGTTTTCCATAACAGGGAATCAAAAGATAATGTCTAAAACTGAAAAATCAAGTATCGATACATGCTTATTTACAAATATGGAGATGAATAAACTAAGAGAGTTACATATAGTTGTCTTTGGAAAGGAAATGGGGAAAAGGGTGCTGGGATTGCCATTTTTCTGAACAAACCTTGTAGAATAAACTACGTAAGCAAGTGATTTTGATTAAAATAAAAACTTTAAAAAGTGAGTGGGTTATGAAACATGAAGTAGTAACAGCCAGAGGAGGCAACTCTGAAACAGCCCGACTGTGAAAGGGAATAGAGATATAGATGAGTAGATGGAGAAGGATGTGGATGATGTGAGTTGTTAATATAGGACATAACAGAGTAGGGTCGTGTGTTGATGGTAAAGATCCAGTTGAATGAGGGAGACTGAGAATGGGGAAACTAGAGGGTGATGGATGGAGTTTCCCACTAACATGCACTGGGACTTGCCTCCCATAGACAGAGGAATGCTTCTAACAGGATTGAAGACGAGGACAGGGTGCAGGGACAGGAGGTTTGTAGATTTGGTTACAGGAGGAGGAGGACAAGTTTCTCTTTTCTCTGAGGCATGGGCATCAACTGAGAGTGAGGGGGAAATGGTAAGAGGGGATGAGGAGAAAACTGAGAACATGATATGCTCCTTGCTCAGAGTAGTAGGACGGGAAGGTTGCTAAGGAACTGGGGACATTGTGCATCTGAAGAGTTCCTAGTTGAACTTGTAACCTTCAGTGCCTTAATGACATCCTAAGTAATGCTCAATAAGTAAATCTTCTAAGAAGAACCTTATGCATAGTAAAAAGGATGGAAGGAAATAAAATAAAATATTAACAGATTGTGTCTGAATGTTAGAACTATACTTTTACTTCTCTTCTACTATTCCCTGTCTTTCAGTTTCAAAAAGTAAGCATATATCATATTCATAATGAAAATATTAATCTTCATTTTTCAATGGGAATCCTAAGCTTTGGCTCATGGGACTGAGCAGCATATACTGATGATACCATGTTCTAGATACAATGTTTATAGCAAAACACCAAAATAACTCATTCTTCAATGGAGAACTGGTAAAATAATTATGGCACATTTATACAGTTGAATGCTATGCAGCTGTTAAAAGAAGAGGAAGTGCTTTATGTACTGATACGGAAGTATCAAGATAAATGATTAATAGATAAAAACAAAATAATGAATAATGTATATAGTAGTTACCATTTCTATAGAAAGAGTTAATATTAAGTATAAAATTTTATCTAGAAGGATCAATCAAAAGAATGAAGTAGATGTATACATGCTAATATGGAAACATTTTCAGAATACATTACTAATTTTAAAAGGGTATACAACAGTGTATATAGAATGCTCCCATTTTGTAAAAAAAAAATAATAAACACAAGTAGCTATAAACTAATATACATAATACAGAAATTTTTCTTCAAATAATGGTATAATAAATATTCTCTTATAACCAGAAGATGAAGTGATTCATACGGGTACAAAGATACTAAGTACTGTGGTATGTACAGTTGCCTACCTGTTCAAGCATCACTACGGAGTTTCGGAGCACTAATTTTAAATGACAGGCCTGATCTTTGTTCTTTTGAGTATTTTCTGCTCTTGACACCATATCAGAGGGTAAACTGAAAGAAAAATACCATCTTCAAAATCAGGAGAATAGCTTCTTATCTTTCATTTCCAGAACCTTCAGCGCCCCATAAAATAGCAAACAAAATACAAAATTAAACAAACAAAAAAAGCAAGCTGTTTATAACTACAGGATAGTTAGCTGACCGAAATCTCTGCAACTGAACTTAAACTTTTTGCAACTAAAGAATTACTGAAATAATATGGTGAAAACAGGTCAGGGGCGGGGGAAACTTACTTTAAAGATTTCTCTTCTTGGAGGTGGAGACGGTAAAAGGACTGAGCAGCATATTCTATCTTTGACAGCTTCAAAAACAGTGTCACATTCAATAAAACTAGCAACAGCAAACTAGGCAGAGCAAATTATACCTGGTTAATTCACTTATCCAGACCTAAAGCATTGCTAATGCAGAATATACATGCAAAAGCTTCAAAATGTATATTATCTAAACCATTTTCCAATTATTGTTGTTATTTAAATCAATCATCCCTATTTTACTGTTTAAAAATAATTACTTTTAAATATTAAGTAGATATTGAGGGAAAAGATGAAAGGTAACTAGAGTGACAATAAAAGTCCTTGAATAGCCCCAACTTGCAGGTTGTGGTTGTCTCTGACATCTCTCCTCTCCACTAGGAACCCCAGCTAATGTTGACATGAGACAACCAGCTTAGAAATCTACAAGGTAAGCTTTCTGGATTTATTTTTGGGTGCCTTTGGCTTAAGCAATTACACACCCATAATGCTGCATTTCAAGAAAGAATGAAGATCAATATGGAGCTGATCTTAGGTAGATTGTGATGTACTTCTTATTCCCAGTGGAGGCCAAAAAAAAAAATTACCATTCAGCAAAAATTTCTTCTAGTTCATCTTGAACAAAGGAAGTATCAAATCCCAAATATACATTAATGTTGTCATATATAAAATATTACATGCCAAACGAACTTAATATATTGGTTTTCACAGCATCCTTTCAAGTGAATGGATACATACTTATTACACATATACGCAAATATATAGGTGGCATCATATCTATCTACTTTTTTTCCTGTTAAAATATTGACTTGCCCTTAAAAATATGTAGCATTCACCTTTACCCGTGAAGAAGAGGATTAAAAAAAAAAAAACTTAAGGTAGTAGCAAGAAAATCATATCCATGAATTACAGCTTTGAGATGGTATACAGATCAACACATCAACATATGAGTAGATTTTCTGCAAAGTAATGCAAAAGAACACTGATAATATTTGCTATTCAAAATGATCAGAGCAAACCAATTTAAGTAGCAAATGAAAACCTTTTATAAAACTCAAAGAAACATTTTCTATGTTCTAAAATCTGTAATTAGAAAAAACAGCTGACATAAGAGTTTCATTCCAAAAAATTATCAGCCAGAGTGTATCACTGAGTCAGAATCAATTCAATTAAATCTAAGGGAAAACCTCAAGATCCATACAGAGCCGTGTAGATATTAGTACTCTAAGTATGACTGGCTTAGTAAATTCCTATAGAAGACTCTGAGATTCAGACTAATTGCCCCAGTTTCATCACCATGTGATGCTCAGATCACTTGCATTGGAATAACTTGAGTGTGTGCTTTAAAATACTGATTCCTGATCCCTACTTAAAACCCACTGAATCAATCTCTGGTATTGAGGCCAAGAAATCTGCATTTTAGCAAACTCTCCAAGTGATTCTCATGCACAGTAAAGGGTAAGAACCACTGGTCTAATCAAATAGAGTAAAATACTATTATTGGGACTTCACCAGCATGTACATATATATGTTCCCTTTAAATTTATGGAACTCCCCATAAAAACCTATGATAGTAAAAATAAATCAGATTAGTTAAAAAGTAAAAACATTTGTTGAATGTATACTTTGTACTACCTCAAATTTAATAATTCTTCTGAAAATCATAATCAAAAACTATCATAATGAAACCTATAAAATTGCTTTTTATAGGCCAAAATTAATCAAATGGTTGAAATTTCTACACAATAATATATAAATGCATTCAAATTCTTTTGGAAACTAGTAAAGATAAATGAAGACATGAACAAAATAAGCATTCACAACAAATACTTACAAAATACTCATCACCATAATAAGAGTTGTGTTATAGCTTTTCACTTCCTTTTTCTTTCCTGCAGATCACAAGAAAAAGCCCACATTAGAATGAAGACTGTGATTACAACTGATAAAAACTTAATTATTGGAAAAGAACTGGAAAAGAAATTTTAAAAATTATTTATAAAGAAAAAAAGATTTATTGTGAATTCCCTTTACCCCTTTTTTGATTTCTGATAAACTGAATAATATGAAACAAATCTATAAAGAGAAAACCTACAGCAGTCCTTCAAATTTGGCCTATCTTACAAATTAATTTACCCTAAAATTAAATAAGCAATTCAATACATCCTGTATGATATCTAGCTAAGTACTATCTCTGCAAATAATATTTGAGCAGGGTTTATGTACAATGCTTCCCTCTTTAAAAAAATCATCTATTCAAAGTTGCCCAAACTTTTAAATTCTAAAATTAAAGAGCCATTAATCTTAAATAGTGGATAAACATAGTCACACTAAGATGTAAGCCTTAGAAGATTTGATAATGTAGGAGGATGAAGATGTCACAGCTTTATAGCTCCAAAAGGGAGGGAATAACGGTTAGTAGAAATAAGATGTCTTCAACATTGAGAGTGGGGATAATAAAAGTCAAATTTCATCTTTGCAATTTTGCTGGGCTGGCCCTGACAGTACATAAGGATTAAGAGCAGTATACTCAAAAATAGAAATCAAATGTCTGTAAATGCTAGGCAGGAAATAAATGAGTGAAACTTTCAGAAGTGGGGAGGATGAGGATTGTGGTAGGCACTGCAGCAAGCTGGGGAGCACACACTCAGTCCAACAAGGCAGCAGAAATCCCGACCAACTGCTGTCGGATCTGAGTTTTTAAATAAAAATGTCCAATTTTTAAAGTGCCATGTGGTTCAAATAAAATACTTATGTTGGCCATATACCTGCCATTTTGCAACCACTTTTTTATACTTACATATTAGTTTTAAAGAATTCAGATTTTGAAAAATATTATCCAAAAAGGAGGGAAGAGAGACCTCCTAACTAACATATCTTATAAAAGAGGAACATTCTGCTTCATATAACTAAACTGAAATCTTTCTTTTTTTAAAAAAAAAGATGACCAGTAAGGGGATCTTAACCCTTGACTTGGTGTTGTCAGCACCACACTCTCCCAAGTGAGCTAACCAGCCACCCCTATATAGGGATCTGAACCCGTGGCCTTGTTGTTATCAGCACCACACTCTCCCAAGTGAGCCACGGGCTGGCCCTTAAACTAAAATCTTTCATCTTGGTTTACCAGGTGACAACTACCTTTAATATCGCCTTTGGTCTCTAAGCCCACATCTCCACGAGAACGCTGGGAAAAAAGTTTAGGAACTGTTTCTGCTGTGCGGTTGAATGTTCGCCTTCTTCTTCGGAGGCCACTAAGTTTTCCAGGGTCCTCAATGGACTGATTTAACATAGATTCTTCCATTAACAAATCTGATTCTAAGAAGGAAAAAAAAAGGATCTTTAGATAGTAAGGAAACCTTCTCAACTGTGACACAAGGGTTTTTTGGTTGTTGTTTTGTTTGCTTGTTTAAGCCTTAGTAACTTTACTCTTTAGCTTCTTATGGCCTAGATTCAAACTTTACTCTTAATAAAAACTTTAGAAGAATATAATGACCCATAATGAGGTTCCGTTATTCTAGGAAGAATGTGTATTAATAAATGATGGGATCACCAGAGCAAATTTGCATTGTGCTATATTAAATATTAATGTAATGATTTCAGTTATGGAAACAACAGGCTACCCACTTACACTGGATCATTAGAAAGATTTCCAATATAGATTATGGACTCGTCAACCTCAAAGGAAGGAATAGCATATAAAAGTTCTAATTTTCAATGAGGGTTTGTAAGAAAGTAAGCACCAGTAAAAAAAAACCTGCAAAAAATTTCATTTTGTCATTTGTTTCAACTTTTTTCATCACTGGATTTTTTTTATTAGAAGCTCATTATCCAGTGGCCAAACTAATTTTTTTTTTTTCCTTTTTTTGTCTTTTTTCGTGTCCGGCAATGGATCGCAACCCTCAGTGTCGCGCCAGTACCGGACCGGGACCAGCAACGGGATCACAACCCTCAGTGTTGCACCCGCACCTCGCTCAGCCAGTGAGCGGGAACCGGTCTGTATGTGGGATCCGAACCCTCGGCGGGAGCGCCGCCGCCACACTCCCAAGCGTCGTACTGTAGCAGTGCGCCACCAGGCCGGCCCCAGCCAAACTAATTTTGAGTTTCATTTTCTCTGCTGCCAATGAAACAGCCAAAGGAAGAAAGGCAAGGAAAATAAATAATCAACAAACTAGATTAGTTAAAGCCTTAATACCCTGAGCTGACTGACCACCAGCTTTTCTTCAAGTAAAATTAATTATGCTTATGTATGTATATATATTTTTCCCTCATGTATATATTAAGAAATATCCAAACAGACCAACTGTGTCACTTTCCCCAGTCAGCTTCCAGTACCCACCTCCACCAAATCTGTACACGTACATAATATCATTGCTAAGTGGGCCTGCGTTAGCCCAGGAAAACTGCATCAGATAAGGGAGATGTGGGCCTGAGGACTTTTCAGGTAGGTCTTAGAAAGCACAAGTATATATCTATGATCAGGTTATGCAGTCCCTGACTGCAGTCAGCTTCCCCGGCTCCTTGCAGAGGCAGGGAATATGACAGCCCTTAACTGTGTAGGTCAGTGGACAAGTCACTTAACATCTCTGTTTCAATCTGTTTCAATTTCTTCTTTAGTAAAACGGAAAAAAAAAAAATTCATCCCTATCTCACAGGGTTGTTATGATTATGAAATGAGATAATATTTATAAAGCACATAGAACTTTATTATATGTCTGGCATATTATAAGCATTAGATGTGTTTTTTAGACCAATGAAAATTAAAAGTTTTGAAATTCCACAAGTGGAGTAGTTGGAACCACTTCAATGAGAGTCATTCCAACATCATCTGCTGGTTCTGTCAATCCAAATGAATAATCAACCCATTTTGTTAATAAATGCTATCTTTACAAAAATATATAAATCAAAAAATTTACAAACCAAGCTGTTTGAAATAGTCATCCAATGAACTCCAGGAATTCTTCTCAATAAAAGATTTGATAAAACCCCATGGCTGTTTTCTGTATTTCAAATCTGTGGAAACTCTAATAGGATAAAAAGGAAAGAAGAATATTTATTTAAGGACAAACTTTAGTTATACTAATATTGCAACTAAATTTAAGGTTATATTCAGTGGAAAGCCAAAAGGATTCAAAGTCATTAAGATTATAAAAGGAAATTTGTTCATTGTTAATAACTTCTTTAAAAAATTACTGTTACTAATAATTTCATCAAATTTTCCTTCTAAGTACTTGCCATTTTATTTCCTTCCACTTTGGAGCCCCAAATTTTCATTACCTAAATAGCAATAAAGGCTCAAAAATAAATGCTAAATTTTCTAAATGCCTTGTATATCAAAATCTCTAGTGGTCATATATTAGTTGAAAGTAACTGCATTAACTGAGACTAAGCCCATCACTCTCTTTAACGCACCAACAGTGCTCATTTCCCATTGCAGCACAGTCAGTCACTGCTTCATCATGTGTCCCCAAGAACTCCCAGCCCCCTTGCCATTTAACAGGGGGAGATGACTAGTTTTGGCCAATGGACTGGGAGGACAGTTCTACAGCTCTCTCTTCTTGTAGCAACTGACATGACACATATTCTGGAAGCTGTAGCTCCAGGATGTCAAAGCCTTTATCAGCTGGGGCCTTGAGTGCGTAGCCCCATCCCTCTGCTGACCACTGTTGGACATGTAATTTGAGCAAGAAATAAAGCTTTGTTGTGTAAAGCTACTACTAAGAATTCAGGATTAACACATGACCAGAGCATAATCTAGCCTATCCTGACTAAAACACTGATTTACAGTAGCTCACCTTAGCCTGCATTTCTGTTTTGAAGATCGGATGATACAGTATCTGTTCAGGGTGTAGAAGTAATCATGGTAGGGGACATCATGTGTCAGTACTTCTGAATCTACCAAATAAAATTGTGCTTCCCGACTCTCTCTATGCAGTGTCTACCAAGATAACAAAGAAAAGTTTGCATATACATGTGTAAAGTATGAAGTTTCTTTCCAATTTAGAACATTTACGAGGGTATTTCAAAAAGTTTGTGGAAACATAAATTTAAAAATAATGTGAATCTTTCCATGAACTTTGTGAAGTACCCTTGTATACTGGATTCGTTCTTAGAAATTACAAAAGACATGAGAAGCCTGTATATGAAGCTAGAAGAGTCTCCATGTCGGCTCTGCTGTCTATGAATTGAGAAGAAGGAATCTGCAGAAATAGTATTTGTTGCCTGTTTGTCATTTTACTGTACAATTATTTTTTTCTTTTAGGCATGAGGAGGAGAAAAGGACCATATAATGTCTTATGTGTATTATTAAAGAGTTTTAAATGTTCCTATTAGGGGAAAAATTCAGAATTTAATTGAACAAAGCAAGGATCCCACCCCAAAATTAATCAAAGTTTAACAAAACCATCCTTTACCAAAAAAGTGAAGGAGGGGGACAGCCAAACAAAACATCGCTTTCCCTAAACAGTATTTAAAGTGGTTGTTGGCCAAACCTTTCTCATTTTAACCACACCTTTTCTACTTATCTCTAAGGAAAAAAGAAAAAAAAAGTTTCCAAGGTTATCAAAGACTTCTCAATACCAAAATACCAAACTTTTCTTAAACATTTGACAATCTATTGAAAAAATTCTTAAGGAAAAGAAACAAGTCCTTTTTAACACTGATGGACAAAACTACAAGAACACAACCAGTTCATATGTTAATAGATATTTACAGAACAGACACACTATACGTCAACACAAATTGGGCTCACACACACTCCTTTATAAGACTGTGCCATGCTGGTCACAGAGGAAGAAAGAGCTTACATTTATTTTTGAAAACTCAATTTCTTCCCCATTTGGCCCTAACCCTTGTCATGATCCTGGAAATCATATTTCAGTAGTATTCTTTTAAAAATCTTTTATTATGAAAAGTTTTAAACATACATAAGAGTAGAAAGTCTAATGAACCCCACATCCCCTCCCTCTCACCATCCTGCCTGGCTAGATTACTTTTCAAGGAAATCCCAGATAGCAATATAATTTTACCCATAAACACTTCAGTGTATTTCTTTTAAAAATAAGTATTATTTTCTTTAAAACACAGCTATAATACCATTATTCCATAGAAAAAGTGAACAATTCCTTAAATCTCATAAATACTTTGTTTAAATTAGGATTGGGTTGATATGGTCTATATGCCTCTAAAGTCTCTTTTAACCTGTAATAATTTCTCCTCCCTTTTTTTTCTTGCCACTTATTTGTTGAAATTGTCTGGTAAACCGGTGACTACGACAGGTATCTTCTCTCTTCCCACACGCATGATTCCTTTGGAATACTGCCAGGGTAGATGTACCTGCTTCTCAGTGGCAGCAGTGCATTTTCCAATAAGTGGATTATTAAGGACTATAGTGTAGGTCATGGTTCTCAGTTGATCACCTCCAGGTTCTACAGTCCAAGGGGTAGACACCACATCTAATCACAGCAAACATAAAACAAGTTAGATCTAGAAACCTGAAGGGTGTGACTTTAAATGTAATAAAAGGAGTAATTTTCAAATTATTTAATTTTTTTTTGACCAGCCCTAACCTCCTTTTAACTTTGTTATAAGTTTAACATTTAACAAAAGAGAGATTAAATGTTAGGCATTCTTCTTATAAGTGACATATTCCCCATCTCTGATCCATTTATTTCTGAATTGTTTTCCATTAATATACTTTTCATTTTCTTTAGAAGCTAAGATTAAAATGTGGTTCATCTATAGGCTTCTTTTTAAAGTCCCCAGTAACTGAAGAGAAGCAATGGCACCAGCCTTATCAGAGACAGCACAACACTTCACTGCTCCCATCACTGAGGATGAAACTTTGAAAGACATGTTTCATTACACAACAGTATGATCTTGATACCAACTTGTGGAGAAATCATGTCAGTTTTGAGAAATCATGTAATGTTACTGGCTGAAATCTTGTTTGCTGAAATCTTGTTTGCTGAATAAAGGTGGGGCAAAAGAATATAAATGATTATATAACCTTTTCTATATTAAGAAGGCTATAGGATAATCTCTATATTTATGGCAATATCTTGGTCAAAATTCTCTTTTATTTGTTTAGAAAGAACACAATGAGTAAAAACACACTTTGAACAGAAATATAGCTTTACAACACAGCACTATACTATAAAGGTCATTTCACACAAGCCAAAAATTAGGAAAGTATAGATAAGAACATTATGAACTCTGTTCAAAGACCTGACTAAGTCACCTAATGCTGCTAGCACAAATGGACTTAGGCAATTACTCAGTATATCTGGCTGCTATTCATCAACATACTACAGCACAGGAGCCTTCATCTAACCAATGACCCATCATCAAAGGAGTGAAGCAAGGCTTTATGAGATAGCCAATTTTTCTCAACTTCTTTTATATAGCCAGGCCTCAGGATTTAATGAGGGACCTGGAGGCTGCCTTTTGAATATCTGGTAAAATCTTATGACTAGCTTAAAAAGGCAACATCACAAATCATGGAACCTATCACCCAGGATTTGCTGTAAAAATGGTTTATTTAGGTGCACCTGAAAGAAGATATACTATTAATTCTAAAATATTTCTTAGAAGGTTACTTTGGTCATATGTCAGCCTGTTTCCAGAAAATGATACAAATAATCAATTATTAATCAGAAGCAGAATTAAAAGATATCATTGAATTCTTTTAAAACTGCCCAACAAAGCAATTATCAACAAGGATAAAAGAAAAGTATCTGTCTCTTCCTGTATGTTATACTTGTATTTTCACTAATGTTAGCAACAGGGCCTCCTGAATATCATGTGCCAGAACATCATCTAATTAACATCTTAGAATAGTCAATCCCCAATACCTAAATAAAGCTCATCAAAATACAAAAAAATCTGGAATGAAATTATTTTTAAAATGGCAACAGTGCACAAAAGGACACATGAGCCATTTTGATAAAGTGAACCGAAGTAATAAAAAGCTGAAATTTCAGAACAAATACTTTAAGAATCCTTTGATGTAATACAGTTTTAAATTGGTGAATCTTCACATCCATTAGATGGCTATTGTTAAAAAACTAAAAAATAACAAGTGTTGGTGCAGGTGTGGAGAAAATGGAACCTTTGTGCATTGCTGGTGGGAATGTAAAATGGTGCAGTCACTATGGAAAACAGTGTGGCTGTTCCTTAAAAAATTAAACATTAGGGCCGGCCCGGTGGAGCACTCGGTTGAGTGCGGCGCTTAGGAGTGTGGCGGCGCTCCCGCTGAGGGTTCGGATCCCATATAGAGACCGGTCCGCTCACTGGCTGAGCGCGGTGTGGGCGCGACACCGAGGGTTGCGATCCCGTCGCCGGTCGCGGTAACCGGGCGCGACACCGAGGGTTGCGATCCCGTCGCCGGTCGCGGTAACCGGGCGCGACACCGAGGGTTGCGATCCCGTCGCCGGTCGCGGTAACCGGGCGCGACACCGAGGGTTGCAATCCCGTTACCGGTCAGGAAAAAACACAAAACGGAAAAAAAAAAATTAAACATTAAATTACCATATGATACAGCTAGTTCACTTCTAGGAGTACCAAAAAGAATTGAAAGCAGGGACTCAAGCAGATACTTGAACATCTATGTTCATATCAGCATTATTCACAATATCCAAAAGGTGGAAAAACCCAAATTTCCCCCAACAAGTGAATATATAAACAAAATGTGGTATATGTATATACTGAAATGTTATTCAGCTTTTAAAAGGAATGAAATTCTGACACATGCTGCAATATGGGTGAACTCTGAAGACATTATGCTAAGTATTACATAATAAGCCAGTCACAAAAGGCCAAATATTGTATGATTCTGCTTATATGAGGTACCTAGAGTAGTCAAATTTGTAGAGGCAGAAAATAGAATGGTGATCTTCAGGAGCTGGGGGTAAAGAGAATGGAAAATTATTGTTTAATGGGTATAGAACTTCAGTTTGGATAAATGAAAAAGTTCTGGAGATGGATGGTGGTGATGTTAGCACAATAATGTGAATGTACTTAATGTCACTGAATGGTTAAAATGGTAAATTTTAAGTTATGTACATCTTACCACAATAAAAAAAGTGGTGAATCTAGGTGAAGGGTATACGGGTGTTTATTAATGCAACTTTTCTGAAGAATAACACTTTTTCAAAATTAAAAATTTGGGTAAAATGACTTAAAACCAGCTTTTAATTACAAGTAGTGCCCTACAACTGTAAACAAAGAGTAAAAATAATACCAATTTAAAAGCTCACTAATTTAAAAAAATAGATCCAGTAGTAGCCATTTTAATGCTGCAATTAGACTAAATCCACAAATAACTGATTACATAAAACAATTATCATTAAATGTTTTTTTAAAAGAAGCCTTTGAAACTCATTTTCAAGAAAGACAACTTTGATTACCAGGTAAAAAGTTCAGAGGATAAGAGTTTGGTTTGTAGTCACGAGCAGATTCTCTTCCAGGACAAAGCTTCTGACTAATTCTAAGTCTACCCAGCAACGTGCCTATAACTGTTTAATTTGGAATTACCCAGAAACCTTTATTCCCAAAGCCATTTATAATATCAGATAGCAGATACAGTCATCCACATTAAAGCCAGATATGATATCAGACAACAAACACAGTTGTGTTTCAAAACAACTTCATTTAGTACCAGCATGGAATAACACGCTAGTTATTCATGGGCCTTTTCAGCCATAAAAATGGCAGTGCCACACCAACAGACATCATCTTAGAAAATTAAGGGAAATAATGTACCAACTCCTCTGAAATATCAAGTTCTCCAGGTAGAAATGAATAACAAGAAAATAAAAAATAGATTCAGAAGAGATAGAAGTTAAATATAAACTACTGAGTGAAAAGGAAGATTTATATCTCTTGGATATTCCACATTTTTAAAACTAGAAAAAAAAATGATTTTTTAAAACTATGAAACAATATAATTACAAGACTCGATAGCTATCAGTTAGAAATGTCTCTGCTACTCTACTATGAATAAGAAATAAAAAAATCTTGTACCTAGAATCCATACCAATGATATAATCTGTGAATATATAATTATATTTATGTAAAAGTTTTAAATAAAGGAATACCATCTAATGGTTAATAAAATACTTAGATCACAAACTATACTTTAATTGCCTATAGAATAACTTTCTCTTTGACTATGTTAAGTGACTCACCTGATATGAATCTCTGCTGCTGCTGTGTTCTAGTTTTACACAGCAAGCTAAACCATGTGTTCCAAAGTTAATATCTTGAAACACTTAAGATAAATTCAGTTTCAAACTAATTGTAAGCTTATTTGAAATGTTTATCACAATAGAACTTTTAACACATAATTAATGAAATCCTTCTTATGAGTATAACCAATTTCCTAAATGAAACTTTTTTTTGATATATTCATTGAAGTATATACCATAGACACTGTAATCTCAAGTGTACAGTTCCATGAATTTTCACAAAGGAAACACATATGTGTACTACCACTCTGATGTAGACATAGAACTTACACCAGCATCTCAAGAGCTCCCTCCCAATATTTACCCACCCATCTTTCCACAATGGTAATTACTATATGGACTTTATGCCCATTGATTTGTTCTGCCTATTTTTTTTAAATTTATAAAAAGTTAAATTATATAGTATTACTCTTTTGTGTCTGGCTTCTTTTGCTTAACATTGTGTCTGTGGGATTTACTAATATCGTTATGAGTGGCAGTGGTTTGGTTTTTTTTTTTTTTTTTTTGCTATTATATAGTATTCTTTTGTTAGAACATAGACAATTTGCTTATCCGTTCTATTACTGATGGATATTTGACTGTTTTGAGTTTTGGACCGTTATAAATAACTACTATGAACACTATAGTACATGTTATTCAGGGTACACATGTATCTATTTCTGATGGGTGTATACCTAGGAGTGGAATTACTGAGACATAGAGAATTCATAGTTCAGATGATACTGCCAAACAAAGTGGTGGTTCTATTCCACACTCCACCAGCATCCAGTTATTCTACATCTGACCCCTTTTGAACTGGATTCAACCCAATTGAACTGGTACATTAATAAAAAAATATAATTTTAGTTTTCAAGGGGTCTGAATTTAAATGTGGATAGCATCTAATTAAATAACTACTGTATACTGTTCAATATAAATTTAACCAAACATTTAAATAACAGCTTGTATATCACTAAAATAAAATCAAATTTGTCTAATCCCACCCCACAACAACATAAATCAGTTTGTATAGGCTCAACCCCCTAAGGATAATAACATTCTCCCAAATTTATCATTAGGTAAGAACACAAGAACCAACCTATTATATTTCTAGAACTGGTAAATCTCTGTATAAAGCATGAACTGGTGAAGAGCAACTCAAACATTCTCTCAGCACTGATATGAAAAACACGGTTGATATAAAGTCTTCCATGAAGATCTTTCTCAGGTATATTTTCTAGAAAAACAAAAATAAAGACCAAAGAGATGAAATCAAGGAAAGTTAATATCAAGGTTTGGGGGGTTTTGTGGGTTCTATTGTTGTTTTGGTACAAAATGGTTTGTAAATGTAATTACAATGATCAGCACATTCCAGGACACTATTAAAACTCCAAATTGGAATCATATACATGTGTACCATATATAACTACACATAACCACATATACTTAACTAAACTACATATGGTCAATATTTCAACTGTCAAACCCAAAAAATGTAGAAATATTTAATTTGAATAATATCAAAGTCTCAATCACTCAAAAGACTGTCTTAGAAGTGATATGGGCAATACTGAGACACACCATGGTATCTACCATAGCAATTAGCACATCCTGTCTCTGAATGTTCATACATTCAGTAAATATGAAGTCATCAATGGCTATACCATCTGCTGCACTCACTAGCTTGTCAGCCTGAGTAGTGTTTCAATTTGACACAATGCTGACTCCCCCAAGACAAGGATCACTGTATTCACAACCTATTCTCAATACCACACATTAAAATAACTAAGAAATCCTTCTGAAAAGTATTCTTCAAAACTAAACAACAACCAATGGTATACTACATTTTTTTCTGGGAATTTGATAATAATAATGACGTTGAAACTACTGGTAGCAAATGAAATTCAGTATCTCTTCACCTCTTTTCATATTCCCTGGAAACATATAAAATAGCCCATACTTACATGGTGTTTACTGTACGAGGGTACTTTAAAACATTCATGGAAAAATAGAATTAAATCTACAGCAACATGGACGAATTTAGAAAAAATTACATTAAGTGAAATAAGCCAGGCACAGAAAGAGAAATACTGCATGTCCTCACTCATAAGTGAGAGCTTAAAAAATAAACAAACAAATAAAAGAAAGAAAGAAGGAAAGAGAAAGAAAAAGAAAGAAAGGATCATAATAATTCGTTGAACTTTCAAAAGGCAAGAACAGAACTAAGGCCACCAGAAGTGGGAGGAGGAAAGGGACGGAGAGAGGGAGTTAAGGAGGAATTGGTAAAGGGCTACAAAAAATGATTATAAAGTGTAAGGCTGAAACACTAATTATCCTGATTTGAGCATCACATATTGCACACAGATACTGATATTCAATGCACATAATTGATTGTACAGATATGAATAAATAAAATAATTTATTTTATCTATTAATAAATTTCAATAAATAAAAAATAATAGTGCAAGAAAAAAATAGACCTTAAAGATAATATGAATCTTTCCATGAACTTTGTGAAGTACCTCGTGTCAGACATTGTGCTAAGACCTTACAATTATTGCCTCAGATTTTCCTCATAGCAATCCTATGAGATTAGTAGTAGTATCACCATCATCATCTCCATTGTACAGATCAGGAAACTAAGGCAGAGAGAGAACTGCCAAAGCTCTGTAGCTAGTGAATGACTGATCTGGAATTTGAACCCACTCCAGCTCCAAAGCACACAAACTTAACCTATATTTTATACTGCCAGAAGGAGTTTAACTTATAAGAATCAAAAAGAAAAGGAAAGGAAAAAAAAAGACAGCTAAGAATAGGAGCCTAGTATAATAAAGGTAGCATCCTTTATGAAGCAATCCTATATGAAGTTTTAATGATTTTAGGACCAGGATTACTTATTATTTATTTCAAGAATTATGCCCCATTGATACAGAATGAAATCTGTGACAAAAGTCAAAAGCTGCCCATATTTCAGAAATCAAGCTCTAAGAATTATCTGTGTAAATCATCTGTCAATATTAATCCATGAGAAGCAGTCTGTTTAAGTAAAAGAGCAATCATCTGCGAATCAGAAAAATTCTTCTAGCTCTGGCTTCACTCCCAACTACCACCATTTCTCCCACATTAAATGATTTGTGTCTCTCTATTTTGCTACAGGGGTAAAGAACTTAAGGCTATCAGGCAGATATTGATTTACCTTCTGTCTGCAACAATACTATATATGTAGGCAAAAACTATCCACTGCAATTTCAAACAATGGCTCCTTAAGTGTAGAAATTAATCACTGAAACTGGGCAATTTGCAAAGATTTTGTGAGGTAATTTCTCAATTAGGCTTAGGAAACAGCTTTTTCTGACAAAGAAGTTTTATATGTTCATTGTAAAAATCAAATATACACAAAGAAAGCAAACAACTATAAGTGATTCTATTGATGCTGCTCATTTCCTCCACAATCAGAATCTATCCAGATTTGCAATAATATTTTTGTTGTCTTATTGACTTGTTTATTATCTTTCTCCTGCACCGGACTCTAAATTCCATGTGAGCAAGGATCATGTTGATTTTAAACACCAGTGTACATCTAGTGCTTGGCACACAGTAGTATTAAATAACTATTTTTATGAATAAATTACTATTAAAAATGCAAAAAATACCTTGGGATCTATTTTTACTTACAGGACTTTCAATTTGCAACCTTTTTTCTAAACTTTAAATTTTGGAATAATTTGAGATTTACAATTAACTAAACTAGGCTTTATTCCTATTTTTTTCCAGTAATATCTTTTTTCTGTACAGGATCCAATCCAAAATACCATGTTGCCTTTAGTTATATGTCATCCAGTCTTTGACATCTTCTCATTCTTTCCTTGTTTTTTATGACCTTGACACTTTTGAAGAGTTTTTTATGACCTTGACACTTTTTTGGTTGGGTATTTTATAGAATGTCCCTCAATTTGGGTTCATCTGATGTTTTTTCATGATTAGACTGGGATTGTGGATTTTTTTGGAAAGAAGAATATAAAGATGAAGTGCCCTTCTCATTAACCATGACCACTTGCTTAAGGTAGTGTCTGGCAAATTTCTCTACTGTGAAGTTACTATTTTCCCCTTTCCATACTTGTAAGTAGTTATTTTATTCTTTAGGTTATAATCCAATACTATCACTATTTATTCTGTTGCTTAAATTACTTGATTTGGCCAGTAGGAGCTCTTTAAGGTTGATTCCTGTGTTCTTTTGACATGCCTTTTTTTTTTTTTTTTTTTTTTTTTCACTCTCTTACTTTCTGTAACTACAAAACACTCCAGGCTCATCTTATATTTTTTCCTACCCCAATCCTAGATTCAGCCATTTCTCTAGGGAGCCATGGAACTATAATTTTTCAAAAGTAAGCTTCTTGTTCATATTTAAAAGGATACAAATTATACTCATATTTGTATTTTAATATATTTTCATATCTCTTTTAAACCCCACTATTAGATAAAGTGTTCTAAATTATAACTGAGAAAAATAGAATCTGTGGTATCACTACCAGAAATTAGCAGTAACATCTTTTGCATGTAAATTTGTTCAAGGAAGTATGTATATGAAATAAACTATTTCCATCTGGGATTATTCATTTATAAAATTTAAAGTCTCCTATCCAAATAACATCACCAATAGTAATGCTATAACATACTCAGCTAGCAGGTAGTATCTTTAAAATGGGAAAATGAACACTACTCAACCCAGTAGCATGTTACTATTTCCAATGAAGAAATACGATTTCAAACATATCACTTTGAAAGTGACCAATAGAAAGGGTATAAAATAAAACAGATAAATATAGGAGAAGTGCACGGACATGAATGAAACTGAAAATATATGCTGACAGGATTTTGAGGGTATATGAAAAATGTACTGGACAGGTATGCAGTTGATTTGGAGTTTAACTTAATATATAAGGACACATAATTTGTTACTTCCGTTTTCTAAAAACTAGTGACCTGCTGTCTTCTTGATTCGGGGCATTTTTCACATCTGAAAAACCAAGTTCAATACGAGTATGTTGTTCAAAAATCTGACCCCAACTATGTCAGGGTTACCTGGTTTAGTCTCATGGCTGCTTCCCTAACATGCGAGCCTGTATCATGGCTTTTCCCTGGCTTTCCCCAGAAGCCTACTTGACCTCACGTTTATTAGTAAGTGTCATCCGATGTTCCATTTCCTGTAACTCTTTGCTTAGATTTGCCTCTAATTCACCTTGTTCTGTCAGGTACTGATCATGGATTCCAATTTTGCTACTCTTATGTAACCCTCCCATAGCCTGATCTTTGCTTCAGACTTAGCTTCCATTCTCAGCATAATTGACTTTGGTTGGGAAACTTTGTCACACCAAGTTCTGTCACTGTGCCGTAGTCCAGGTGTCTCATGCCTTCAGGCAATTTGTCAGCTTCCATTCATGGCTCTACCTCCCAGGCAGATGTTTCACAAGACTGCCCATGACATAATAGAACAAAAAAGGTGGAAGAAGTAAATCCTGATAGCAACAGAAATATCATAATCTCGAAAATCACAGCCATACTTTCCTTATACTTGTGGAAGTGGACACATTGTGTCAACTCATTTTCATTTGCCAGAAAACTCCCAGCATCTTCTCAGATATTCTAAGCTCCTCCCCACAAATGGCCAAGTCTATCAGCTTTCCCTGGCTGGGGAAAGTCTATCAGCAATGACCCTTTAGATAAATGAAGAAGTTCTGTAGCTTATTCTGTGAATTATTATATATCTAAGTTTTAAATTAGTAATATGGTTTAACATATTTAACACAATGCTTAACATTTTGTTCAGCAGCTGGGTGCCCAGAGCCCATTTCTGGAAGTACAGAAATATTCCTGAAAAGGGCACCCTTCAATCTTGGTGGGTTCTAAACTGCCTGGTATAAAGTAAGAGCTTTAAAAAAGAAGCCAATCAAAGCATATTCTAGTCTAACTTTCCATATCTGGGCTTCAGTTAAACTCCATATTAAAGACTGGGCTAGAAGTTAGTTCAGGTCCTTCATGAGATGCTTCGCAATGCTCTACTTTGTGGATTCCTGTCAGGTCTAGATGGGTCTAGAGGGAGTCTCTATACCAAAAGAGTCCAGTGCTCGCCTCCCAAAATAATACGGGCAATAGAAAGGGAAAAAAAGAAATCCTCTCATCTTCTTGGCCTGCTCACAATAGTAGATCAAAGTACTATCATTTAAAATAAAATAATGTTTGGTTTAAAGTGATCTGCCATCCACTTCTAACCCACACACACACACTTCCAAATCTTCCGGGATGGTTTACTTCTTTTGACCTTCCCGGTTGTCTCTGTGGTTCATTGACATCAGGAGTTTTCATAACTTCAAAAATTTAAGAACATAAAAAGTAGATTCGACATCACGCCCATTTAATACACATGACAAGCCCGAGATGTTGAAACATGCTTAGGGAAAGCAGTAGGAGTACTTGATTTATTATCTAATGATAATATAATAAGAAAAAATCATCATCCCATACACCTTAAATAGAACTCCACAAACAGAGAGCTGAAAGTCACATGTAAGTTCTTACTGCCGTAAAGACAAACAGTCTTGAAAGGGACACCAGCAAAGAGCAAAATGTGATCAGAACTCACATGCAATATAGCAACTAAACTGCTATTATTCTTTCTTTATTTCTAGATATGTACACAGCTTTTATGAGTTTTAATGTTACCCTTTATGTAACTTATTAACGTTACTTTTATAGGAACTCAATAATGAGACTACTTTTTAAGGACCATTCTTATAAAAAAGGAGATGAAAAGAGAAAAAGAAAAAAATCCTTGTTTTGGTGTCACTTACCTATTTGGCCACTGGGTGCCAGAGTAGATCTTCCTAAAATCCTAAGTTCAGTCAGGTAAGATATAATTAATTCATGCCCTGCTGCATACTAAAGCAGGCATAGTAAGGGCACTAATAAAGCAGTTGCTACCTTTGATCTTTCCTGATGTCTCCCACTGCCCTGACTTCAATGTCAATGATCTTACAATTAGAAAAAAAGATTCCTAAATGCCTACTTAATAAGTATGATAAGCCCCAGGTTACTGGTACTAAGAGAAAGTAAAGAGAACAACTACTTTTTATTTTTATTATATTCTCTCCTTCCTCTCTCTTTCTCTTTCTCTCTCTTTTGTTGGTTATAAGAAAGTAGAACAATCATGGTAAATGTAACATGAAAACTACTAGATCTTTTATCTCTTTCTCAGCCCTAAAAGCAGTGCAACATGCAAACAAAATATTTGTTTTGGAAGTTTTAAAAATATGTTTTAAAAAATTAAATTTTAGGGCCGGCCCGGTGGCGCACTGCTACAGTGCGCCACTTGGGAAGCGCAGCGGCGCTCCTGCCGAGGGTTCGGATCCCACATACAGACCGGCCGCTCACTGGCTGAGCGAGGTGCGGGGGCAACACCAAGGGTTGCGATCCCGTTGCCGGTCCCGGTCCGGTACGGGCGCGAAAATTTTAGGGCCGGCCCAGTGGCGCACTGGAGAGTGTGCTGCTTGGGAGCGCGGCGGCGCTCCTGCCGAGGGTTCGGATCCCATGTGGAGACCGGTTCCCGCTCGCTGGCTGAGCGCGGTGCGGCCGCAACACTGAGGGTTGCGATCCCTTTGCCGGTCCCCGGTACAGGCGCGACACCGAGGGTTGCGATCCTGTTACCGGTCAGTAAAAAAAGATAAAAAGGAAAAAAAAAAATTAAATTTTATATCAGGTAAAACTCACATTAACATAGTAAACTTACATTTATATAATATGGTTGGGAAATGGTAACTTAAAATTATTGTTGGCTGTGTATTATATGTAATGCAGTGGAAATATCTCTTGTTCACTCCTTCCAAGTTAGAGGTACACAGAGTAATTCCTGGCCCCTTTCTACCTCTTTACTTGCTCCGCCCATAGAAAGTAGATTAGTGTTATGGACTGAATGTTTGTGTCCCACCAAAATTCATATGTTTTTTTTTTTTTTTTCCTTTTTGTCTTTTTTCGTGACCGGCAACGGATTGCAACCCTCAGTGTCGCGCCCGTACCGGACCAGGACCGGCAACGGGATCACAACCCTCGGTGTTGCTCCCGCACCTCGCTCAGCCAGTGAGCAGCCGGTCTGTATGTGGGATCCGAACCCTCGGCGGGAGCGCCTCCGCACTTCCCAAGCGGTGCACTGTAGCAGTGTGCCGAATTCATATGTTGAAACTTTCTTAACCCTCAGGGTGGATGTATTTGGAGATGGGCCCTTTAAGGAAGTAATTAAGTTAAATGAGGTCATAAGGGTAGGGCCCTGATCTGGTAAGATTAGTGTCCTTATAAGAAGAGATGCCAGAGAGCTCTTTTTAATGCTATATGGAATATTATTATCATTTGTCTTTGTAATAAATTTAAAGGAAATAAAACGTTCCTCCAAAAGTGAATTGAAATGAAATGGAATTTTTTAAAAAATTAAATGGAAGTTTACTACAGTAAAAACAAATGAAATTCAGGAGCAGTTTATGAATTGTCCATGCTCCTGCTTTCAAAAATATATCCCATTATTCTAAAATATAACCACAGTCAATAGCTTGTATCTTCATACACAAAAAGTTGAATATTCTTCTGAATAACATCAATGAGTAAATATTTTTTTAAAAAATCATTTACCGATCGAAATATTTCCTTTCCAAAAAAAAAGAGAAATATTTCCTTTCTAGAAATCTTGAGAATCTTCTTTATTCCCTTTTGGAAGCTATCCAATAATTTAAATTAATATTCATCTCAGAATGCACCCCTGCCATGACTACTTCCTTTCATAATCATACAAAAAACATGCGTACGAATAACTTTTGCTAAGATGTCTTTTTTTAAAAAAAAAAGAGGAAAGAAAAAAGAACTTGAGAAGTACCGGGGTGAAGTAAAAGGTACACTGGACTGAGAGACCTGGTCACTAATCCCTGCTCTGTATAGATAACTAGCTGCATATTTTAGATTTTACCCCTCTAGGTCTAATGAGGGAATGCCTGGATGAACTAACAGGTAACTGTACCTATAAAACGTGAGCATCTTACACTGCCTAGAATATAAGAATGGGCATGCAGATCTTTATTAACAGATTTGCTTTTCCATTTATACTGCCTCATCTCCATTGCCTTAAGGCTTGGAATTTTAAATGCTAGATATGATGGAGATTTTCAAATTCCGGGCTTCTGAAGAAAGTGGAGATGGGTTAGATTTAGCAGCTTCTTTATCCTATTTTCTATAAACTTCCATTCCTTTTTTGGTTCTTTATAGGGTAAGACTGTTTTAATGTACCTAAATTCTCAATCTGCACACACCTAATACAAAGATAAAGATTAAATGACATAACTGAAATTTTATTAAAATATATAAGAAATGTTTTACCTTCATCAACAGAATCTGAAGTGCTGCTTTTGTCCAGAGAAAGATATTCATTTTTATTCAAGTCCAGTGATTTGGATGGCACTCTACTTAACCTCTTTTCTGAAGTTGGTAAAGCACTCTCTTTGATTTGTTTCTCACTTTGGGGCTCCTCCTTCCCTAGCCCCTAAAAGGTAAACAATCCAGTTTAAAATTTAAAAACAGATTTTAAGCTTACATTTACAGTGAGAACTTAATATTACAGATGTTTTGAGATACTGCTCTTTGAAAAATATTTCCAGCATTTTGTTTGTTATGCTGTATCGCATTTCCAATGCTGCTAATGTCAGCCCACAAAATATTAGTAAATAACAAATACAGTTCTGAAGTCATCTTCTTATACAGTAATGAACTACAAATTTATGCAGAATATTGTATAAAAAGGACTCACAGATTGTTAACATCATGTGAATCATTTAAGAAAAAGGGAAAGGGGAGAGACAACAAAAATAAAGGAAAAATTAGTTCTTTGGGACGGGCAAGAAAGAGGATTCAAACCCAGTTAGTTTCCCCAGACAATGTCTGCCCCATCATCTTAAGGAAGAGAACTCACCCATCTCTCAAGACCAGTAACTACAGGAAAAAGGAAAGAAAATAGAGAGATAAAAGTCACATAAGAGTACACTGGGGGAAAGAAGATTAAAATGGAGATTAACTTCACAGCAAACTCATAAGAACACAATGGGCTTTGCTGTTAAGGGACTAACAGGTTAGGCATTCAATATATGATGCTATCTCTACTTTCTGGGATGGTTTAATAAAGACATGTCATTTTTACAATAAATGTAATGTTAGGCATCAAAGTATGAATACTATTGGTATATTAGTATTCAAGTATAATTATTATAATCAGGCTTAGTAGAACTGTATAAAAAATCTATATGAACTATATAACAAAGTACTTTCTTGCATAATCTGTATGTACACAGATGAAAGAGAGCAAAAAACATATATATAATCCTTATACTTCCTGCCCCATGAGATCCTTGAGCAGCACTGAACAGTAGAAGCAGCTCCAGGGAGGATACAGATTTCCACTGGCAACTCAGAAAGCGGCATAACAACTGGGACCCAGGACACAATTTATTAAAGGGTTATATACTATGCTAGTTAGAGGAGTGATTGTTCAAGCAGGGGTTACTGCTAAAATCAAGGCTTGCTTTATTTGGAAGTTCCACACTATAAAGCAATCCAGGCCTTCTTTAATAGATGCTATGTAGAATAAGTTTCTATGTAACTCCACACTTATGGTTCTCCCCTTGTTGCTAATTAAGTTATATTTTATATTATAAAGAATATAGATAGAAACGTATAAGAAAAGTAACAATAACTGTCTTATAGTGGTTGGCATCTGGATATTTACTTCTTTGTATACTCTTCTATATTTTGTAAATTTTTACAAACAGTAATAATTTTATAACTTAAAAAACATATTTTCATTTTGGAAAAAGAGTTATTTCTGACATTTTGTTATTTCCAGCTTTGTTGGAAGTGAAAATGAAGCAAAGTAAGTGACATACAATATTTGCTGACATCTGAAAATGTCACTATACTGATTTTGAATGCAAAAGGGAAAAAAGGACCAATCTCGTATAACTTACATTCCATCACCTGAAAACATCTATACTAAACATCAATAAATGCATGAAAGATCGTAAAACATTAAGTTATTCTTCCACATTTCATTCCTGTACTGAGAGAAAATATGACTTCCTTTAGGGACCAAACTTGAAGCAAGAACCAATAGATTAACTATTCCAAGAGCAGGTACAAAAGGAATTTTCAGGGAGGCTATAGGAAAGACTCAAGTAAAGACCAGCAGTTCTGAGAACCCAGTCCTCAAAGTCAAGGAGATTGCAAGAAATCCCCTGTCTTGTTACCTCCCCAAATTGAGTGGTTTCATCTTCTCAGTGAGACTATACAAAAAGATTAATGTCCAGAATCACCTCCCTGCACCAGTCTAAGTCCCTAAGGGTCTCCAGACAAATAAGTTTTGGAAGAAATTCACTACACAAAATCAGGCTGAGGCAAATACATAATGGTTGCCTGAAAAAGCTGATACCTTGGTGGCTTTTCACATAAACATATTCTCTTTCAGTATTTTCCCAACATTTACTCAGAGGAAAGGCTGGGAGTTCCTTGGGGGAGGGTAGAAAAGGACCATTGCTGGCCACATGCAGACTGACCTTCAATCATAACAGCATATGGTTGTTGGATACTTCATGTGTGTTAGGGACTGTTCTAAGTAGTTTCATATATAGTAACTCATTTAATTCTTATAAAAAGTCCTATGAGGTATATCCTTACTTTATAGTTGAGAAAACAAATGCAATGGTTAAGTAAATTAACTAAATTAAGGTCATACTGTTAGTAAGTGGCAGAGGTAAGATTTGAAGCCAAAGCTCTCCTCTACACCAAAAAATTCAGCTTTGGCCCCAAACTTGCATCCCCAATCATCAGAACAAAAGCTTTCAGTAGGAGCACTCTTAGCACTCAGAATGTGGTCTCTAAATACCCACTCTTCACTAAGAAAATCTGTGGCTTATTAGGAAAATGAATGATGTAAGTTTTGAGGCAGAAAACGTACAAAATGTGCTAGGGACATGTTGTTGTGCCAGTAAGAAATAACGCCATCAAAGATTACCGGTCATTTCAAAAAGACAAGAGAGCCAACTGGAAGGGGCTCTGGTTAGCACAGAGAACAATCTAAATGTTAAAAAAAAATAATGACTCCAAGTGATTGAAACTCATTATATATTAAAAAAAAATTGACACACTTCTTTTTTTTTTTTTTTTTTTTTGGCTTTTTTGTGACCGGTAAGGGGATTGCAACCCTTGGCTTGGAGTCGTCCGCACCGCGCTCAGCCAGTGAGCGCACTGGCCATCCCTATATAGGATCTGAACCCACGCCCGCTGCGCTCCCAGCGCTGCACTCTCCCGAGTGAGCCACAGGGTCGGCCCTAAAATTGACACACTTCTAATGATACTTGAAAAAATAAAGGAAAAAACTAACTAACTATAAAGCCCTGTAGTTAATTGGACCTGCTGTGTTAATAAGCATCTTAGGAAGTATATATTGTTATTCAAGCATGCTGCTCAGGCACTCATCTCCCCGTTCAAAACAGATTCTTTCCACCATACACACTACCCACCCTGGGAAAAACTCTGCTAACACAGTTCTCCATCTTGTTATATATTTTAATGACATTTATCCCCCTTATAAACTGATGCTCAAGGAACTATCTCATAGCTCTGTACCTTATCCAGTTCTAAACAAAACTACATATTTCTCCCATATAACCTCTGCTATTCAGACTTAAAACTCTCTTAGAAACTTTCTTAGAAAGCACTCAATCTCCAGAAAATAGAATAAAGTAACAGGCCAACATCTTGAGTTATTAAACATTTTATATACAGTATTTCTATTTGATCTCATATTATGACTAACACATGGCAGTATCAGATATATTTTTAAAGGGACAACATATACTAACTCCTTTTGATGAATTTCCATCGAATGACTCTGTTTCAGAAACTCGACTAATTGATTCACGGGTAAAACTGATTGACTTGGATAATGTTTCTTCTCTCTTCCCAGAGTCATCCAAGCTGCTCCTTTCTGGGCTTCTGTAAGAAACACATCATTATACAAACATAAGGTCATCTCTACACAAATAAGTGATTTGGTCTCCTCACTGAGGTCCTTTTCTATTATAAAACATTTCGACAACAAATGGATCACTGTAATATTACCAATAAACTTCTACTTATAAAAAGGCTATCTTCTTAAATCACATGCAAATTGACTCTTCTCAAAATAAATAAGACATGCTCATATAAAATTCTATACATTTCAAAACCATTAAAAAAAATAACAAAGTTTAAGTGGCCACAATAGCAACTAATTAAATGAATACCACTTATTTAAATTTCAATTGCGGACAACCTGGAAGCTTCGAAAGGTGCAGGATGGATGTCTGAGTTGGATATCAGTCTGCACCAGAAGGCAGTTTTAGATCTCCTTCCACATGACTCAGTCCCAGCTGACAGGGCGAATCCCTCCCAGAAGTGGAAGCTCCTGATGTCTGAGCACAGAGTCCATTTATTAGTCCTGCCCCTTTCTTGCTCTTCTCAGCCCTAAGAATAAGGCTTAAGAAACAGCTTTCAAATGCTCATAGGGCCAAGACTACAATAAATGTCCTAGAATCTGCTTTCCCTTTACCAGAGAGCAGAAAGAAAGCAAAGCATATTAAATATAAAAGGAGCACAACTGATCTAATTTCCAGTGATCAACCTTACCGAGCAATTATTATTCTCATACAATCATTGCTACGTATAGACTTAAAGCTCTTCTAAAATAAAGTAGCAGCCTGACATCTTAAACCACATTATCCTGAGGAAGAAACAGAAAAGCTAAAGGATATTTCAACCTATTTTCCTCCACCCAAATACTGAGGTCTGCTACCAAGTCACTCCTGGCCAGACAGAATGTCAGGGCTCTGAGGAGCCAAACAAGAAAAATGGCTCCTTGGGACTAGCTCACCAGCTGAGTGTCTGTACTTCAGGATTTTAAAAACGGATGTGAGAGTAATGTGAAGAAATAAAGAGAGAGGAAAAGAGAGATTAAAAATGAAGGGAAAGAAGATGGAAGAGCTGAAGAAATAAAGATTTGAAACATATATTTCTTTCACAGATTGGAAGAATGGAATGAGGGTCCTGCACGTATTTTCTTAGAAAGCACTCAATCGCCAGAAGAAGAAATAGCTTTCCTGGTGAACTCAGAAGGCTTCTTCTAAGAGTGTACAAAGCAATTCGCCGAAAATATTCTTTCCTTCTTCAAAGACTACAAACTTTTTGAGTTGGCAAAAAGGGACCTTGAAGATCATCTAGTTCAACTGCCTCATTTCGCAGATGAGTAAAATGAGGCTCAGAAAGATGAAAAATTTCCCTAAGGTTGCTCAGCTACTTGGGGGCCCAGACTAGAATCCAAAATCTTCTTTACCACAACCTAAGGCTCAGTGCCTTAGATCAATTGCTTTTCTATCTAACTCCAGTACATGAGGGAGGCTAGCAAAGTTTACAAAGAGAGTAGTACAATGGAAAATTTTAACTTTACAAAAAACTAATAAAATACACATGTGCAACCATGTAAAAAAACTACAAAATATTGATGCTAAACTGAAACAATATAAATAGGATCATCATAACTAGGAGACTACCTAGATGAGTAAAATTTTTGTACACATGTTGACTTTCAAAATATTTCCATTTTAAGATTTGCTATAGAATTTTTAAATAACAACTTTATTAAGGCATAATTCACATACCATAAAATTCACTCCATTTAAAGTGTACCATTCAGTGGTTGACAGAGTTGTGCAACCATCACCACTATCTAATTTTAGAACATTTTCATCATCCCAAACAGAAACTCTGTACCCATTAGCACGCACTTCCCATTCTCCTTTCCTCTCAGCTCCTGGCAACTGCTAATCCACTTTCCGTCTCCATGGATTTACCAATTCTGGACTCCATTTCATATACATGGAATCTCACAATATGTGGTCTTTTGTGACTGGCTTCTTTGACTTAGCATAATGTTTACTATAGAATTTTAATGTATTATCTTTAGTTATTTTTATTGCTATGACGTTAATTACCATTGGACAAAATGCACTTTTACTTATACAGGTTAATAAAAAATATCCACTCTTCTAAAGAACCTCATCAGTCAAAAATAACCTTTCTCCATTTTAATTTCTTTATCACATTATCTTTACTCCTTTATGGCCCTTGCCTTTTTCTACCTTGTATTGCAATTATTTGCATTCCCACAGTACTATAAGTTCCTTTCATGAATGTATTCAATATTTATTGAGTGCCAGCCACATGCCAAGCACTATGCTAGGGAATCCTTGAGAAAAAGTCATATTAACATTGTATCCCTCAAAACACCTGCCATCTAATTTACTTTATTGTCATCAATAAACTCAGATTTCACTAGGTACTTCTCCAGGTCCTTAATAAAAAGACTTACAAAAACCAAGCTTTAAGCAAATCCTAGGTGACATAGTTACATAGGTAACGTTTGCCTACATATCCCATATTTGCTTTCCTATTTAGCAAATTATTCTCTGTCCCCACCTTTCAGCCCATTCCTTCACAGAGAACAAAGAGGCATACTGCTCCCAAGGATGAATAAATAGAAATTCAGAATTAATAAAATGTAAAATAATTCTGCTTTGACTAATGATTAATAAATCTTGACTTTTCAAAACATTCTGCTGTACCTTGGCTGCACATTATCCTCGATCGACAGTGACAAGTTTTCCATCTCTTCAGCATTTAAGCCCAGCTCAGTGCCATAGTTCTGCTGGAGCAGCTGCCAGAATTCCTGTCTAGACAGGCTCTAAAATGATAGAAAATTTACACTGGGTATTGGAAAATATAAAAGTTAATATAATATTGTGATTCAAAACAGGAATTTTGAAGTCAAAATAACCTGTTGTGTAGCTACTAGGTGTGTGGCTTTGGTAGTTATTTGACCTTTCTATACCTTCATTTCCTGTATCTATAAAAACAGGTTGATGTGAGGAGTAAAGAAAATGATGATTTTTAAATGCATAATATAATAACTACTATAAATGGGAGGTAAAAATGTTTAAAATTTTCTTTTTATAAAATTGTTTGTTCATAGTTTCTGGCAATTACTGACCTGCAGTTTCAATTCTGCAATCCAGCAAGTCTACCATGACCACTGTATCACCATTCAGAGTCCTATATGTCAGTTAAGAGCCCTTCCTCTTAATCCCTAACGTATCTGAATATTTTAACTACTTTTAAAACTTTATACATAAGTAAACTTTAAATTATATTTTCCTAAAATATAAAATGCAAGAGGCTGGACTTCAGAATACTTCTTTTGATTTACTAAAGTCCAGCTTGTTCTTCCTTTGTAGGTAGCATATCAGTGTTAAAATCATCAAATACAACAAACTCATGCATTACATAGCAAAACAAAAACAATATTATGATAACAATGGTCTTATTTCTAGGAACATTATAGATAATTACATGATTAAGTAAGGTAAAGGGAGGCAGTATAACACTTGAAGCAATTGTTGCCAAGATTCTCTCTCTCATTCATTCAACAGCTATTTATTTAGTACCTACCAAATGTGTATCACTGCACTAGATGCTAAGGGAGATGAAAGTGATGTAGAAGTTAAGTTCCTGGTCCTCAAACAACTTAAAATATAGCTGAAGAGACATGGGACACTCTTAAGTAAAGTTAAATCAGACAAGATATAATATGATCATGCACTAAAGTACTGGTAGAATTAAGATGATATGAAAGCTTAAAGGAAGGAAATATTACAGTGGATTAGGGTGATCAGATAAAGCTTCATTTAGAGAAGAGTTTTCAGCTGAACTGAAAGGATATGAATGGGGGAATGGAGAAATGAGAAGAGCTGGGGAGAGGGAAACAAGAATAAAAACACAGAATAAACATATGAACATAAGAAATATTTGATTTGAAGTCAGTTAATAGTTTATCAGCCTAACTGGACTAAAAATTTTAAGTTGAGAAATAGTAGAGATAAATACAGATTTAACAGGGCCAAAATGTACAGATGCCTTGAATTCCTCCCTAATATTCCCTACAACAAATACCACTTCCTTTTTAATTTTCCTTCTTTCTTCTTTCAGTCTAATAGCTATAGTATCTTTGTTTGTTATGTTATACTAGATGAATTTCCTTACATTTCACCAAACCTCAAAGAGACTAAGAACAAAATTGGTACACTTTAGACCACAGTCTCAATCTGCCATGCCTAGGTTACTAGGATTCCACAAGAGTAGCTGATGAAAATTCAGATGTTATCAGTATTTCAAAAAGTCAAAAATACCCAAATAGTTACCTACAATAAAGCTATGTGAGCTAAGTTAAAGGGCAAGCCTCTTTGTTTTAAGCTGAATTATATTAACCTAGAATGGATATCTCAGGCTAAGAAACTCTCACTGGAAATAATGTATGTCTAAAAAATGGTAATGTTCTAACATTTATTATTTAATATACACCACTTATTTGGTAGACAAAGTCATTTGAAGCATAGTGTCTATAGAAGAAAAATAAAAAGGATCATTAGTGGTAGAAAAAGTTAAGGAAATCACTGTGCTTGATCCTAAAGGAACCTCCACAATTTTTTTTTCTGACTTTCATACTAGAAGAGTCATTTGTGAACTTTTTTCACAATAACAGCTCATAATACTAATTAAATCATTCTTCCAAAAATATTATCTTTGAAATATTTTTAGTGTCATAAAAAGGTGGGTAACTTTATAAAGAGAAACAAGCAATATTTCAATACACTTATGTAACATCGATCTTTCATAAAAAACTTTTCTGAAATAATAAGTATCAAACTATTACAAAGACAGACTAAAGCAAATAGATAAGCCAACGATGAATACTCAGACAGCTTCCTTACAATGAAACTCAATAGATAAAACACTAACCACTAAAATGCAATTTTATTTGACTACCTAAAATAAATGTTTTAAATATCTTATCAAATACTATCAGGAAGTTAATAGCAGGGTAATTTCAATACAGTTTTTGATCTATTAACATATAAATCACAAAATAGAACTCATTTAATTCACCATCTTGCAGACTTGCTAATTTGTTAAAAATGACTTTTTCTACAAAGTTGTCCAGTTGTCATAAAAATGTGGTTATTTACAGCAATGCTAATCATTCAAACCTGAATGTACAGCCTGATATTCATTGTTCTTTCAATCATCAGCAGCAGAACCAATCTGCCTGTGAAACCTTAAAAAAACCCTAAATTTTAAACAAAAGCTGATCACCTACCTGGGAACAAAGGAGAGTTTTCCCGTATCAGCCTACAGAGTAGTTTAACAAAATAAAGATGAACCAAGCAGTAATCAGATAAGGCTCAAAAGACACATCAATTTCTGGTCCAGGAAGCTTTGTGTTCTAAATAAGCTACAAAGTCTTCATCGCAGCAGAGCTGCAAATATTTAATGACAACTATGTAAAATCATTGCTTCAATCTCCTAACTTTGTATAAAAAGCTTTTGCTTATAAAAGACAAGTTCTAATGTAGTTAAAAGCACATTATTTGTCACTTCCTGGTTTGTAGTATCAGCACTCTTTCCAAGGTTGCAAGTCAGAATGCAGAATTGGAAGTTATACCTCGCTCTACAGGTTCCTAAACCACTCCTACTAGAAGAGAATAGGTAAACAGGGTTTTATTAAAGGGACAGTTCCCAATTTCTCCTAATCTACACACAGGTTAGAAACAAAACGCAAATGAAAATATCTCGCTCATGCTCACTTAATATAAAACACTTGTTGCAATATTATTTTAATCTCATTTTAAAAATTAACTGTTTTAAGGGTTAAATTTTCTCCTCCATGCTAGTACTTTCTATTCAATTCTGGCAATGTCATAATTACTTCTTCATATACTACTTCTTCAGTACTGATGCAACATTCCCAGCAGAAATCTGCATTAACCCTTTATTTCTATCAAAGGTTATAACTCTTGAGTATTGTAAGTGAAATGTCATGAAACAGCAGGAAGAGCCAGCTATTCAGATGGAGCAATTCCAGTAAGCAGTTGGCATATCTTTCATCATTGAAAAGTCTAAGGTAACATCTTGATTACTTAATATCCTTTGAGAATATTTCTAACTTTACTTCAGAATAATTTCCTGGCAGGGACCTGAACTGTAATAAACACTATAGAGAGTCTTACCTACCAATTCCAATTTATTTCTCAGAAGGAAAGTTTTTTTCCTAAATGAAAAATCCAAACTTGTCCTAATTTCTACCTAGTTGTACCATTTAATTTAGTAAAGGGTGTCGACAAGTCAAATGTTACTTGATGAACTGCAAGGATCAACCTATGGGGGACTGCTAAAATCTAATCATTTTATCTTTTTTTTACAGTGGCAGAATGAGAGAGCAGAATGACACAGGAGAATATCAGTCACTGAAATTAAGAAAATGTGCTATGAGAACTAGCTTCCACTGCCTAAAATCTAGTGCTTTTAGCATATTATGATGGTTCTCATTGAATGAAACTGTACATAAATATACTTACTCTATATGGTGAACAAATAGCTATGAGAAAAATATACATTAACCGTACTGTGATTGATATTTATATACTTTTTTGCTAAATATAAAAATCCCTATAGCAAACCACTGGTATATACAGCAGAGCTAAATTTAGTAAACTGAAGAGGGGAAATAGAACTAGAACTAAGCCCCAAAAAAGCCCGACATACAAAGGGTAAATAGAAGAGTGGCCAGCAAAAAAGATTGAGGGAAATACCAGAGAGGTAAGAGGAAAGTCCAAAAAGAATGACATCATAGAAGTAGAAGGAAGCAGGTGTTTCCAAATGGAGGGAGTGTTCGACAGTGTCCAATGCTGCCAAAGGTCATGTAAGATGAGCATGTGACCAGCCAAGTGCAAACATCCAGAGGAGCGGGGCACCCTGGCAAGCCAGTTCACCACCACTAGTATGTGTGTTGGAGGGTGGAGGAGGGAGAAGAGTCAGTGGGGAAGAAGGAAGCATCCAGGTCACGAAGAGCCTTGTATGCTATGTTAAAGAATATGGATTACATTGTCAGAATATAAAAAGCCACCCTAGTGGTTTCACATAGAAAAGTAACAAATTCAGAACTGTGATTTTAAGAGACACACTTTAAAAACTACTACTACTTGGCAACAACCTCAAGGACAGACTAGGGTGTTAAAAAGAGATAGTAAAGAGACTACTGTAATGGTTCAAGCTGGAAATGATGAGGGCCTTGGTGACCAACTAGAAAAGAGGTAAGAGACAAGGATATGCCCAGGTTTCTGGCTTGGGTGACTGGGTAGGAGATGGTATGGATCAATGACCAGGGGATAATAGGTGGAGGAGTTCTGCCCACAAAAAGGTAAGAAAGAAGGGGAAATATAAGAATCCAAATACTTCTATACTGCCAGGCAAACAGAAAGGTGATGGAAGGGTGTCATATTTCTCAGGTGTGTTGGGTAAAAATACATATAGCAAATGTAACTAAAACAGTTAGCAAGTTTACATTATTTTTTCCTGGTAGGTTTGAATGTTGCATTTATTAGATTTATAGCACTACTGGAAAACTTCTAGAATGCCAACTTCAAAAGGAATGATCATAGGCTGCCCAGTTAGCTTAGTTGGTTAGAGTGTGGTGTTGGTAAAAGGTCAAGGGTTCAGATCTCTGTACCAGCCAGCTGCCAAAAAAAAAAAAAGGAATGATCATTGGAGAGTGGCAATAAGGAAGAACAAGAGGATTTGATAAGGTTGAGCCATTTACAAAAGAAGACTGGATGAGACTTCCAATAGGTC